ACGACAGGGGAGCCAAGAAAAAAAGCCATTATGACAACTGCTAGTCCCAGCCAGTCTACTTTTCATAAGTATTTTACTAGTTATTTAATTTTTTAAAGAGGTTTTTGCTATAGGGCGCGTGTGCTCGCCAGACAGACAGACAGAGACAGAGACAGAAAGCGAGAAATCACCCCCCAGGGGGGATGGTCACACCGCAATCCCTTCTCCTCCATTCTCCTCCTGGGATCTTGGGCACACATGCACACACGCCCAGTGTGAGTTTAAGCCACCGGGTCCGGGACGCAAACCGCGGTCGACTACGTGGGAGTCCAGCAACATAGCCATTACGCTAACTGCTGGTTCCCTAGTTATTTAATTTTTTATTCCCCAATTACAGCATGCTTAGGCTGGACCATGGTCTGATGGTTGAGGGAGCTGAATTCAGCATGGTCTACTATACAGTCTGGGTCATGGATCCAGTGGCTTGTAAAGCATAGCAGGTGCACGTGTGTGCATAGCCAAAGTCCTGACAGGAAAGAAAAATGAAGAAGTGACCATGGCATGACCATTCCCTGTGGATGGCACTCTCTCTCTTTCTCTCTCCCTGGAGGGCATGCACATTCTAGCAAAGTTTTTAAAAAATAAGGAAAGTTTTACAAATTTTCATATCATCCTTTCAGAGGGACTCTGCTAATTCCTTTCGTATCACTCCAATTTTAGTGTCTGTACTGCCAAAGTGAGCATGTTATTTCATCTTTTACTGCCTCGGTCTCCTCATCTCTAAGTGAAGATTATGGTGATTCTATTTAGAACTGATGTGAGAATTAAATGAGTGGTGCACAAAAAATACTGGGAATAGGCGAAGTACCCATTGATGTTAGTTTCCATGATTTCTGTTTGTCATACACTAACCAAGATATTGTATTATAATATCCACCATAAGCACTAAAGACCCTGTCAAATATCATCATTCTTTATGTTGCTTAATGACTTCTCTTCCTTTTTAATGCTGGGATTGCTTGTAGATAAACACTTTTCTCTCACTTTCTTCTCAGAGTATATATATTCCTAAAATGCTTTTGTTCCAGGGAAATTAAAATTAGAATTACTTAATCTAAAATAAGTATTTTCTAGCTTTTCTAAAAAGAATTATTTAACTTTATTATTATTATCATCATTATTATTATTTTAACTTGATCAGAGAAAGATGGGGTGGGGGGAGTGAGAAAGCAAGCTGCAAGGTCTGAGACTTGAACCATAGTCAGCCATGTGACAGTCCAGAGTCCTTAACCACCACGACATCTACCAGCCCCAGAATTTTCTAGCTATTATAGTACATTTCATAGAATGATGAATAGTAGTCACTGTATCACTAAGAAACACTAGTCTCTTTAAGTCTCAACCCTAATCTATATGAAATTAACTTATGTTTTGTGTAAAGATCTGTTTTAAAAGAAAAATATTGCAGTACTGTTTTCTATGGTAGCAATGTAGACAGTAAGACCCATTCTAAAGAGGTCTTAGATGGAAATGAGAAACATACTATCAGAAACTGGAGGAATGATGATCCTTGTTGTAGTGTGACAAAATCTTTCACTGAATTGTTTGTGTTCTAGAGTTTTGAAGAAGGTGCCATTTTTGAGCAATGAAATTGGAGACTCACTGGATAAATTTCTAAGCAAAGTGTTGAAGATGCCATGTAGCTTCTCCTTAATGCTTGTGATAAAATAAAAAAGAAAGAAATGACTTCCAGATAGAGTTATTAAGCAAAAAGAAAGTAGAATTTAGAGATTTGGAAAATTCCTAGCCTATTCATAATCTTAGCCTATTCCCTTCTCCTCCATTCTCCTCTCAGGATCTTGGGCACACATGTACACGCACCCAGTATGAGTTTAAGACACTGGGTCCAGTACTTGAACCACAGTCGACTACATGGGAGTCCAGCGATATAGCCATTATCCAACTGCTGGTCCCCAACTGGTCTAGTTTTCATAAATATTTTACTAGTTATTTAATCTTTTATTCCTCAATTACAGCGTGCTTGGGCTGGACCACCGTCTGATGATTGAGGGAACTGAATTCAAAATTAATACACTAAGAGTGTTGCCTAGTATCCATTTGAGAAAGAGGTTAGTTTGAGTGGAAAACACGGATTTAACCAGCACATACAAGAAAAAAAAAAAAAAAGGCCAGTTTGAACTGAAAAGAAGGAAATTAGAAAGAATGAAGAAAGGCCTTTGGACTTCTTAGATATTACCAGATTTCCAGATAGGACTATGGAACTATTTCAGTGTGAATATATGATATTTTTCAAGAAGAGGGAAGACTAACCTGCTATGGAACTATTTGGGTGTGAGTATCTGATATTTTTCAAGAAGAGGGAAGACTAACCTCAAGTTCATTCAGAAATCATTAGAGCTGCCTCTTCAGTTTCAAACTGAGGAACTATCGCCTTGCTTTTAACAGGCCAACTGACCTTGGCCCAAATCCATGGGAGTGAGGTCTCTTTCCCAGTGAGCCTGGGAAACAGAACATTGAGCCCACAAGAATTATTTCCAAGCCTTAAGATTTCATGGAGTGTGCCATGAACTTGTTTGTGAATTTTACCCCTTTCTTCTTTTCTATTTCTCTCTCCTAAATTTCAAAAGAAGAGACCATTAACTTGCTTTTAACAAGCCAGTTGTCACTGGGCCAAAGCAGTTGGAGTGCATCTTCTATCTCAGAGAATTGAGCCAAAGAGAATTATTTTCATAGTTTAAGATCTCATGGAGTGTGCCTTGGGCTTAATTGAGACATTTCACCCCTTTCTTCTTTCCTATTTTTCCCTTTTGGGAAAGAGAATATCTATCCTATGCCTGTCTTCTCATTGTATTTTGAAAGCATATAACTTACTGGGTTTTACAGGATCACAGCTGAAAAGCAATTTATCTCAGAATGAATTGTACCTTTAGTCTCAATGTGATCTGATTTAGATGATATTTAGATGCGATTTTGGATTTTAGACTTTAGCGTTAATGCTGGAATGACTTTAGATTTTTCAGTCTACTGGAATGCAGTGAATGTATTTTGCCTGTGAGATGGGCATAGATTTTGTGAGACAATAGTGAAATGCTACAGAATCAATGTTTCTGCCATCCCCCCAAATTTACAGGTTAAAATCCTAGCTCCTAAGATAATGGTATTATAAGATAGGACCTTTGAGATGTGATTAGATCATGAGGCTATGGCCCACATAAATGGGATTATTATTCTTAAAAGAGAGAGAGACCCCAGAGAGCTTCCTCACATTTCTACCATGCAAAGACACAGCCAGGAGTCTGCAATGTGGATGAGGACCAGACTGGCCCTGATCTTCCAGACTTGACACCTTTTTGAAATAAATGTTTGCTGTTTAAGTCATTCAATTTATGGCATTTGTTATAGCAATGTGAACAAACTAATGAACTGGTTTTCCTCTTCTACATATAAAGAAGAAAACTAACAGTTTGGGGTTCTCTTTCATAACTTAGTAAGACTTGTTCTAAGAAGATGTTTGTTATCATTTCAAGTAAAGTTGAAATATGAACCTCACTGAGACTCATACTTTATCTGGCAAACTTAATGTGAATGAATTCTCTAACTTCTTTTTATGCTCGCTTGGTTTGATCTGTCTTATTTGAGCAATTTCTTTGAATAGTGTAAAATTCTTACTGTTTCCCTGATGGTGATATGATAATAAGGGTGCTCACTTTTCCCATGTAAGAGAATGCTGTGAACATATATGAGACCTGTTGGCAGGTGGCTTTCACCTCACAATAAAAAGGGCATTCCATTTTGCAGAGGGACCTGAACTGTCAGTGTCTTAAGTCTTTTTTCTTAGTTTGAACACAATAGAATCATTGTATCTATCTGGAAGTTAGAAGTCTAGCTGCCTGTATTCTCTGTATCCAGTGAGAGAAAGGACCACCTGGTCTCAGTTCAGTATGGTTATTTTGAAATGTTCTTTGTTTTTTGATCATAAACCCTAACCTATACCCATGCTTGGATAATCTGAGTTAGGATGTGTCTGCCAGGGGCCTGAAATCTAGAGAAGTGGAAATTATAGGAATTTGGAGACTTGCATATGTTAGCCAGCAGCACCTTCAAAATGGTTGTTGGAACAGAAGCTAAATGCTTTGTCATGCTATACAAAAGCCCTGGAAGAAAGAGCTAGTGATCAAGAACAATAAATAAATGAGTATTTATTTATTTATTTATTTATTTATTTTTGTAAGTATATTCATCTTGACAACTATACATCTAAAACACATACACACATGCATGCATGCACACACAGCAATGAACTTGTATTTTCAATGAGTAAATACAGTAAACTAACATTTCCATTCTTGCTTCTAGTTTATTCATAACACAATGTACTCTTATTTAGAAGTGATTTGCTTAATTTCTCTACTTTTCTTTACGTCTTCCAGTAGTGGGACCAGCAGGCAGCATGATGATTAAGGCACGGAATTCCCACATGGCCAACCACAGTTCAAGTCCCGAACTCAGAGGCTTGCAAATCACATAAGGCACATACACATACAGTCCCACAACCCCAAGAGGAAAATGAAAGAGAAGAGATTTCAATGTGGACATCCCTTTATGTTGTGATTTCTAACTTTCCCTCTCTCTGCTTCTTCCTGTGAGAGCACATGCCCTATGGCAAAGCAAACAAACAAACAAACAAACAAAAAACAAAACAAAAACCCTTTAAAAAAAAAAAGGGCTTCTAGAAGTTTCCACCTCCTTCAAAGTAAAAGAAGCCTGGTGTCCTATATGACCGTGCATTGTCTATTCTCCAGATTAATGTCAATTTTTGCTATTAGAAAACAACTTCTCTAAGTGCAAGTAAATACTAATTGGTTACCGCTGTAATTTTAGCATCTAGTATGATGTAATGTTCAGTTTATTATATCTCCTTAATAAGCGTGTGTGTGTGTGTGTGTGTGTGTGTGTGTATTGCCAGTGGTTGTGCTGACAAGATTCGATTCAAACTGTGGTTGGCCAAGTGGGAATGTGGGATCTGGCTTTCTATGTGTAGCACTTCACCACTGTGCTACAGGGCCAGCCCAGTAACTACATGTTGAATGAATGAAAGGAAATGGAGAGTGATCCTATACAATAATTTATTTAATCTTCTTGTTGCTGTTATTGTTTTACATTTTTGGATACATCTGTGAAAAGAACAAAGATTGCCTGTCTTAATGTGGCTTTCCGTTCAGTGTTGACAACATATATTAAATAATAAATAAATAATTTTGTAAGAATACATGAAAGAGCTGAGGAAAAATAGAGAAGGGTAAGTAAAGTTAGGAGGAATTAGAGAGGGAAAACTTAGATCGTATTAAATACAGTTGTCAGGGCACTCTCAGAGAAGGTGTGGGTTGGGCAAGATGAGACAATAGTGAAGATGGGTTTAAAGGAGCCAAGAGATTTAGAGATGTGGATATTTGGAGAAGAAAAATCAAGACAAGGAGAGTAACTGGAGCGAACGCCTGTGGTAACATGCCTGGTGTGTCTGGGTGAGCTGCTCAGCATGAAAGTAACAGTAGGGAAGATCAGAAAGGTAACAGATGGGAGGGACTTCATGATATATCGTGTAGGAATTCGTTGTCTACCGTACAGATTTCCACGTGTGTGTGTGTGTAATGGGTAACCACTGGAACCTTTTGAGCAGAAGAGTAGCATGGTCTTATTTACGTTTTACTGAGTCATGTTGACCA